CTGTCCCGGGTGATCTGCAAGCCAAGGTAGCTGCGCAGCTCACCCAGGTCTGTGCACGTGCGTCTCTTCTGCACCTCCGACTTCACCAGGGCGAGAGCCTCAGTGTCAGCAGTGGCAAAGACCAAGTCGTCGACGTACACGAGGATGTAGAACGGCGGCAGCGAAGTGTCGGTGCGTAGAAACAGCGACGGGTCAACAGTCGACGGGGCAAACCCAAGAGCCGCAAGAGTCGTCCTCAGTGTGTCGTGCCACTCACGTGGCGCCTGGCGGAGACCGTATACTGGCCGCCGGAGGCTCCACTGGGTACCAGGAGTGAACGACCCAGTGAAGCCAGGTGGGCGGCGCAGCCAGATCTCCTCGTGCAGGCTGCCTTGTAAGAAGGCTGTGCTGAAGTCCAGAGAGTGAAGCTCGTAGTCACGCTGAGCGACAACGTGCAGCAGCACCCGAAGAGTGGTCATCTTCGGGGTGGGGGAGAAGGTCTGGAAGAAGTCAACTCCCTCCCGCTGACTGAAGCCTCGAGCAACGTAACGAGCCTTGAAGACAGGCGGAGAACCTGGCGGCCGCTTCACCCTGAAAATCCACATGCCGTCGACGATGTTCGCCCCAGGAGGGGGAACCTCATCGATGTAGGTGCCTGTGGACTTCCAGGATGCCATCTCTACGTTGATGGCTGTCTGCCACTGAGAGGAGTAGGGACCCGCGATCGCCTCAGCGTACGATCGCGGAGTCGGGATGTCTGGTGCATCCGGGTCTCCCTCAGGGACAAGCAGCATGGCCACGGGATGAGGCGCAGCGACTGCAAGACACTCAAGGTCCTCCTGCCTGTCCTCAAGGACGTCTGTGTCAAGAGCACACTCACCCCCGACGGACGGAGGACAGACATACTCAGACTCAGCAACAAGTCTAGCGGCGTAGTCTAGACGACAGGCAGCAGCAAAGTCAACAAGCTCAGCGACTAAGGCAGACGCAGCAGCAGACTCAAACGACGGGTCAGTGACAACAGTGGCAAGCAGACGCGTGACCGTAGGGTGCTCAGCACGAAACTGGTCAGACGCAGGGTCAGCAACGACAGGCAGAGAGGACGCAGGGGGAGACGGCATAGGAACACGCGGCGGAGGAGAGGAAGGACGACGAAGTACAAGGTGGGGGCAGGGGACAGCCGGCTGACGCTGATGAGGAACACGACGACCGGAACGACCAGAACGGACAGGTGAGACAGGACGCGACGTAGGCTCACGACGCTCAGCAAGGCCCCCTGTCTGCTCAGTGTACGGAGAAGGAGCAGGCAAAGGTGAGCCAGGCTGTAACGGAAGACCAGTAGACGACGGGAGGCAAAGAACCTGGCGAAGCACGGAGTCAGGCGGTGGCAGAGACGACGGAGACGGCGGAGCAAAGAACAGTCGTGGCTGCGCAGCGCCACCAGTACCAGCAGCTCCAGCACCTCCAGCAGCTCCAGAGCCTCCAGCAGCTCCAGGACACTCAGCAGCTCCAGAACCCTCAGCGCCAGCTCCTCCAGGATCAGCTCCACCAGCTGCTGCACCCCCAGAACCGGCACCTCAAGTCCCAGGGTCTCCAGCCTCAGTGCCTCCAGCAGCAGCACCCCCAGACCCAGGGTTTCCAGCAGGAGCACCCTCAGACATAGCACCTCTAGCCCCAGCAGCTCCAGTACCTCCAGTACGAGCACCTCCGGGACCAGCACCACTCCCAGCTCCAGTGACGTGAGCAGAATTACCTCCAGCGGCAGAGCCCCGAGCTCCAGAAGCGCGACCCTGACGACGACCGTACCAGTCGTGCAGCTGCTGCGAGGTGAGGGGCACACGCGGACGAAGGCGGCTACTCCAAGGAGACCGCGCAGCAGCAGAATCAGAACCCTCAGGCGTCGCACCCCCAGACTCAGCACCCCCAGGCTCCTCACGCTCAGGCTCAGCAGCTCCAGGCTCCTCACACTCAGACTCAGCGTCCCCAGGCTCAGCACCCCCAAGCTCCGCACCCCCAGGCTCAGCACCCCCAAGCTCAGCACCCCCAAGCTCCGCACCCCCGCGCCCAGCACCCCCAAAGACAGCACCACCCCCAGCAGGACCTGAGTCACCAGTGACCTCAACAGGCGCAGGCACGGGAGGGTCTACCTGAGAAACACCTGAAGGGGCAGGACCTGGCGCGGGGAGGGGGTCTACCTGGGGAGGACCTGGGGCGAGAAAGAGCGGCGGGGGGGGGCGAGGGGCAGTGCGGTAGGGAAAGAGACGGTAGAAGGGGACGGACTCGTCAAAGGTGACGTCCTGAGACAGAAAGACACGGCGCGAGGCGGGGTCGTAAAACTGCCAGTCAGGCGCATCAGGGACAAAGCCAAGGAAGACGCAGGGAATGGCGCGAGCGGAGAGCCGCGGTGGTATCGCGGACAAAGGCACGAGCACCCCAGACCCGGAAACGCGACGCATCGCCAACCTTCCCCGTCCACAGCAGTGTGGGCGAGGTCTCCGGCAAGGAGACACGGGGCAAGAGGTTGAGCTGATGCGCGGCGTAACGGACCGCAAACGGCCACAGGAAATGGGGGGCAGCCGCATGGATCATGGAGGTACGAGCGACCTCCATGACTAAGCCAATGCGGCGCTCAGCAACCCCATTCTGCTGCGGAGAGGCCGGAAGCATGAAAGTCTGGCGGATGCCGTGCTCCGCACAGAAGGCAGCCAAGAGGTCTGAGGAACACTCACCACCTCTGTCAGAGTGCAGACGCAGGACAGGAAAGTCCAACTGGAACCGCTCGCGGAGCTGGAGACGAGCAGGGCGGATCCAGGGGATCAAAACATCAGGGACATCCCCCTTCCGTTGCAAAGGGAAGACCGTGGTGTAGCGCGTGAAGTCGTCGACGACCAGCAGGAAGTACCGCTCGTGGCCCTGTCCACGGACGCGGGCTGGGCCCCACACGTCCAGGTGGAGAGTCTGCAGTGGAGCCTCTGTGGGAGGGAACGAGGAGGAGTGAGGAGCGGCGCGCTGCCGCCCCTCGACGCAAAGGGATGCAGGGCGGCGCAGGCGAGGGAGTGAGGGCAGGCAGAGACCTGGGAAGGCCAGAGACCAGGAAGCGAGAGTGCATGCTACGAAGGCGAGGCAGGGAGGGGTGACCAAGGCGGTGGTGCCACAGGAGAGTGTCGTGCGACAGCCGGCGACACTCACACTGGGTAGCTACCTGAGCAGACGCGTACAGCTGGGGAGACAACGGGGTGGAGCGTGACGCAGTGGTGAGGGTGTACAGACTGGACCCAGGCGCACGGGTGAACGTGGCCAGGTGGCGGCCGGTCCGGGAGCACGTGCAGATCGCCACACGCTGCCGTCCAGGGGTGAAGGTGTCAACCCCCGCATCCTGGAGGACAGCGTTGCTCACCAAGTTCGTAGAGAACGAGGGGAGGTGGAGACCAGACAGCTCACCAGACGGGACCGCCGGACACGGAAGCACAGTGGAAGACCGTGCAAGCACTGGGCCCCAAGAGGGGTCAGCCAGTGAGACAGGAACAGGTGCAGGGAGGGGAGTGACTGTGGTGCTGTCGCGAAAGAAACAGCGGGAAGCACCAGAGTCAAGTGTAAAGGTGTGCAAGGCCCGTGCGGACGCAGTACCAGGGGGAGCAGACTCACAAGCACCCAGTGCTGCAGGCGCTATACCAGGGGCTATACCGGGGTCTGGCGGCACACACAAGTAGCAGTCACCCTCAGCACTAACAGTCAATGCATACATGGCAGCAAGAATAGCCTCATAGTCAAGATCAAAAATAGGTACATCACGCCTAAGCAGGTCTGCCCAGTTGGGGAACTCAGTAGCATCAGGAAACTTGACGCGCCAGGCGTCGCTAAGCCGAGCGAAGCAGCGGTACTCAGTGTGAAACCCTGTGCACTGGCGACCAGCGCGGGGACCTGTGCGAATAATATAGGGGCAGCGACCAGGACCCCCAGACGCCCCACGCCCGGCATACCAGTCAAGAAGCTGCTGGGAAGTGGGGGTCTGGCGCTGACGCTGCTGCGGCTGCTGCTGCTGCTGCTGTCCATGACCACCACCAGCCCCACCCAAGTCCCCACCACCGCCGCCACCACCACTCCCCCCTCTGCCACCACCGCCGCTGCCACCGCCGCTGCTCCCGGCACCACCACCGCCCCCACCACTACCTCCACCCCCACGACCACCTCCACCACCTCCACCGCCCCCGCCGCCTCCACCGCCGCCCCCTCCACCGCCACGTCCGCCACCCCTGCCACCCTTGCCCCCCTTGAAGCCGCTGCGCTTCCTACTCGGAGCGGAAGCAGCCGCGACCTTCTCAGCACCAAGGAGGTCGACAGCAGCAGCTGCGGAGGCGTAGGAGGGGGTAAGAGGGGAGGGGGAGCACCCCTCAAAGAGGGGAGTGCGGGGAGTACCACGAGCAGCACCTACAGCTAGAATGTTCTTCTCGGCTGCTAGGAGGTGCTTCTCGAGGTCGTCGACAGTGAGGGAATTGTCGCGATATACATTTATATATGTTTATAACTGCCTGTAGCTTTAGCTCTAGTGTAGTTATGTTTCCTTGTTGGTGGTGGTGCACCTTTGCTAGTTTGCTATATGTACCTTGTGTGCTATAGTGAACAACACACATTCTCACTTTCTCTTGGCCACGATTCTCTCGACACCCGCTTGGCCTAGGCTACTAAGCCTAGGCCCTAAACCCGGTTCCTAGTTAACTTAGTATTGTAACATGGTATAGAGCGATTAAGTTCCTGACCTTAGTTAATGGGCCCACCTATTCGTGGCACGGCGCTCGCTGCGACGGGCGCGGCGGCGAGCCGGCCGCGTTTCCCTCGTCGCCAGTCCGTCGTTTTTTCCCTCGTCGCCTGCCCGTCGCCAGCCCGTCGCGTTTTCCCCCCGTCGCCAGCCCGTCGCGTTTCCCCCGTCGCCAGCCCGTCGCGTTTCCCCCGTCGCCAGCGCGTCGCGTTTCCCCCGTCGTCAGCCCGTCACATTTCCCCACCCTCACCACCTCTGCCCGCGCCTACGCCTGCTGCCGAGTTTGCACGAGAGTGGGGAAGGGGGGGGGACGGCATCGGGAATGAAGGGGACGGCAACGGTGGCGGTCGTCGCGGCCCTTTCCCCCCCGTCCCGTTTTCTTCCTTCCCTTCGCCTCGCTCCGCCCGTCGCATTCCCCCGGCCCCCTGCTCGTCACCCCCCCCCCCCCCGTCGCGACTGTTCGCGTGTGCAGCGGCGGTCGCTGTGGGTGGGAGAGGGAGGAGGGGAAGGGATTGGCGGCGGAACGCTGCGGGTGGGAGAGGGAAAGGGGGAAGGGAGTGGCGGCGTAATGCTATGGGGGAGAGAGGAAAAGGGGGAAGGGAGTGGCGGCGGAACAGCACCAGGCACCAGCACCAGCGCCAGCCACCAGCACCAGGAACCAGCACCAGCACCGAAGCCAGTCCCCAGCACCAGCACCGGCACCAGCGCCGTTACGCCAGCACCAGCCACCAGGACCAGCGCCAGCCGTCAGGCACCAGCACCAGCGCCAGCCGTCAGGCACCAGCACCAGCGCCAGCCGCCAGCACCAGGCACCAGCACCAGCACCAGCGCCAGCCGCCAGCACCAGGCACCAGCACCAGCGCCAGCCGCCAGCGCCCGGCACCAGCACCAGCGCCAGCCGCCAGCACCAGGCACCAGCACCAGCGCCAGCCGCCAGCACCAGGCACCAGACACCAGGCACTAGCACCAGCGCCAGCCGCCAGCACCAGGCACCAGTGCCAGCGCCAGCCGCCAGCACCAGGCACCAGCACCACCGCCAGCCGCCAGCACCAGGCACCAGCACCAGCGCCAGCCGCCAGCACCAGACACCAGCACCAGCGCCAGCCGCCAGCACCAGGCACCAGCACCAGCGCCAGACGCCAGCACCAGGCACCAGCACCAGCACCAGCCGCCAGCACCAGGCACCTGTGACCAGCAGCCCCACCTGTGACCAGCAGCCCCACCTGTGACCAGCAGCCCCACCTGTGACCAGCAGCCCCACCTGTGACCAGCAGCCCCACCTGTGACCAGCAGCCCCACCTGTGAAGAACTGGACAGGGACCATCGTGGGTGGGGAGGGGTCTGGAGGAAGAAAAGGAGGGAGGGAGTGCGGTTCCAGGGGGCGGTTGAAATGGGGGGTGAGGTTACAGGGGGTTGGTTGATTGTGTTAGAATCTTAGAGAGAACAAGGATGAATGAACTAGCAGAAAGTTGGGTACAAGTAGGAAACCCTAAGTTTGTTGTACCCCCTAAGGCTAAACCCACTATAGCCTACACAATGTAAACATATAATGTTTGACACACCCCCATAGGCTAAGTGGGGGAGAGCAAGTGGTCACAAGACCAGTCAAAGCAAGGCAAAGCAAAACAAGCTCAGGGTGGCTCTCAAGGATACCACACAAATTCCGAGCACAAGCAAGTGGTCACAAGACCAGTTCACATGCACTTTGATAATATAACAAGAGGTACAGTGATCACAACCTAGCAAGTGTAAGCATGCAGGTATATATATAAAGATCACAGTACAAGCAGAGTCAAGAAGTGAGCAAGTGAGGGAGAGTAGGCACAAGGCCTAGAACAGTACAGAAACGCTGATGATCACAAGGCTGAAGCGCCTTGGTGAACACATCAGCAGTGTTGGCCCGAGTGGCCACGTAAGTAAGACGCAGCTGACCACGCTGCTGCAACTCTCGAGCAAGGAAGTAGCGCAGAGCGATGTGCTTCGTTCTGTGCTCCAGTCTGTGCTCCTGACACAAGGCAAGGGCTGCCTTGTTGTCGACGTACAGCACTGGAGGAGAACGAGGCCACTCTCCCAGGTCGGTCAGCAGGTAGGTGAGCCAGCGTAGCTCCTGGGCAGCCATGGCTGTGGCGTAGATCTCAGCCTCACAACTGGAGCTGAGAACAAAGGAAGAGCGTGTAGAGCGCCAGGAAATAGAGCCAGAGCCAAGGCTGAAGGTGTAACCCTGAGACGTCCGCTGCGTAGCCTGGTCGTCAGCCCAAGAGGCGTCTGAGTGTCCAGTGAGGACAACGTCGCGCCGTCCTCCAAGCACAAGCCCCATGCCCGACGTACTGCACAAGTAGCGCAACACCCTCTTAGCGGCATCCATGTGCTCCTTCCGGTGACGGCCAGGAGCGACATAGCGTGCTAGGATGCTAAGAGGGTATGCAAGGTCAGGTCGAGTGCAGGTCATCAGGTACATGAGGCAGCCCACAAGATCTGGATACGGGCCACGCGGCTCTACGGACTCATCCGAAGGCAGAGCTGAGAGCGAGTGACCGGTAGGCAGAGGAGTGGGCTGAGGCGAGGAGTACGTGAAGCGGAAGCGCTGAAGGACCTGCTGCACCATGTGTGACTGAGTCAAGGTGATGGTGCACTGTGCTCTGTCCCGGGTGATCCGCAAGCCAAGATAGCTCGTCAGCTCACCTAGGTCTGTGCACGTGTGTCTCTTCTGCAGCTCCGACTTCACGTGGGCGAGTGCCTCAGTGTCAGCAGTAGCAAAGACCAAGTCGTCGACGTACACGAGAACGTAGAACGGCGGCAGAGTGGTGTCGGTGCGTAGAAACAGCGACGGGTCAGCAGTAGAAGGAGCAAACCCAAGAGCCGCAAGCGTAGTCCTCAGTGTGTCGTGCCACTCACGGGGTGCCTGGCGGAGACCGTAGACTGGCCGTCGGAGGCTCGACTGGGTACCAGGAGGGAACGACCCAGTGAAGCCAGGTGGGCGGCGCAGCCAGATCTCCTCGTGCAAGCTGCCCTGTAGGAACGCAGTGCTGAAGTCAAGAGAGTGGAGCTCGTAGTCACGATGAGCAGCGACGTGCAGCAGAACCCGAAGAGTGGTCATCTTCGGGGTCGGGGAGAAGGTCTGGAAGAAGTCAACTCCCTCTCGCTGACTGAAGCCTCGAGCAACGTAACGCGCCTTGAAGACAGGCGGAGAACCCGGCGGCCGCTTCACCCTGAAAATCCACATGCCACTGACGATGTTCGCCCCAGGTGGGGGAACCTCGTCGACGTAGGTGCCTGTGGACTTCCAGGAAGCCATCTCTGCGTCCATGGCTGTCTGCCACTGAGAGGAGTAGAGACCCATGACCAAGCCAATGCGGCACTCAGCAACCCCATTCTGCTGTGGAGAGGCCGGAAGCGTGAACGACTGGCGGATGCCGTGCTCCGCACAGTAGGCTGCCAAGAGGTTGGAGGAGAACTCACCACCTCTGTCAGAGTGCAGACGCATGACAGGAAAGTCCGAGTGGAACCGCTCGCTGAGCTGGAGACGAGAAGCACGGATCCAAGGGATCAAAACATCAGGGACCTCACCCTTGGTGCGCAAGGGGAAGACCAAGGTGTAGCGCGAGTAGTCGTCAACAACGATCAGGAAGTACCTCTCCTGACCCTGTCCACGGACGCGGGCTGGGCCCCACACGTCCATGTGGAGCGTCTGCAAGGGAGCAGTCGTCGGGGGAAACGAGGAGGAGTGAGGAGCGACGCGCTGCCGCCCCTTGACACAGGGAAGACAGGGAGGAGCAGGCGAGGGTGGGAGGGGAGGGAGTACCCGGGGAAGACCAGAGACAAGGTACCGTTTGTGCATGCCACGAAGGCGCTGCACTGACGGGTGACCAAGGCGGTGGTGCCAGAGGACGGTCTCGTGTGCTAGAGAGCGACATGAGCAGGGGGCCGACAGCTGACCTGACGCAGACGCAGACGCAGCTACCTGAGGGGACTCAGTGGTCAGTGTGTACAGGTCCGACCCCGGCTGCCGAGTGAAGGTAGCCAGGTGACGGCCCGTCCGAGCACACGTGCAGTGTGTCACGCGCTCGTAGGCAGGGGTGAACTGGTGGACACCTCCGTCCTGGAGCGCACAGCCCGCCACCAAGTTCGTAGAGAACGAGGGGAGGTGGAGACCTGACAGTGTGCCCGACGGAACCGCAGGACAAGGAAGGACAGTGGAGGAGGTCGCAATGACCGGACCCCCAGAGGGGTCAGCAAGGGAGACAACAACTGGCCGAGCAAGCTGCTCAAGGGCAGTGCGGTCACGAAAGAAACGGCGAGAAGCACCTGAGTCCAGTGTGAAGGTGTGCAGTGCCTCAGTAGACTCAGTACCAGGGGGGGCAGACTCACTAGCACCTAGAGCAGCAGCCTCACCAGTACCTGGGGCAGCAGACACGCGAGTACCTGGAGCGGCAACCTCACCAGCACCTGGGGCTACAGACGCACTAGCACCTAGAGCTGCAGCCTCACTGGTCCGAATGCCCGGGTCGGGCGGAACACGCAGGTACTGATCACCCTCTCCACTAGTAGACAACACATACATGGCAGTGAGAATAGCATCAAAGTCAAGAGCATAGATATCAATGTTCTTCTTCATCAGGTCAGCCCAGCGGGGCAGCTCAGTGGCAGGAGGGAATTGAGTGCGCCAAGCGTCGTCAAGGCGGGAGAAGCAGCGCTGCGTGGTGTGCGCCCTCCCACACGTCTGGCCAATGCAGTCACCAGTGCGGATGACGTACGTGCAGCTAAGGCCACCCCCCCCCCCCCCCCCCGTGCTGAGAGTACCACTCACGAAGCTCCTGGGACGACGGAGTGTGCTGCTGGCTCTGGCCACCGCCAGCGCCTCCACGACCACCACCACCGTCGCCACCACCTCGACCACCACCGCCCCTGCCGCCTCCGCGTCCACCGCCACCCCAACCTCCGCCCCCACCCCGGCCACCTCCTCCGCTGCTGCCGCCACCACCCCCACCGCTGCCACTAGCCCCTCCAGCCCCGCCACCGCCCCCACCGCCGCCACCGCCTCCACCACCGCCTCCCCCGCCGTCACCTCCACCTCCCTTGCCCCCTTTGCCCTTGCCGCTGCGGCGCCAGTTCGGAGCGGACGCAGTCCCGACCTGCTCAGTACCAACGAGGTCGACAGCAGCAGCAGAGGCGACAGAGGGGAGAAGGGGGGAAGGGGAACACCCCTCGAAGAAAGGGGTGCGGGGGTCGCCACGAGAGGCAGCTACAGCGACTATGCTAGTCTCAGCTGCAAGCAGATCCTTCTCGAGCAGGTCAACGGTGAGCTCAGTGGGGCAGCGAGCGAGGAAGTGGTCCCTGACCGCACGAAGAGAGTCAGGGAGACGGGTGACCAGGTGGTAGAGAGTGAGCCAGAGCGGGGGGGGGTGGGTGGCAAGAAACTCAGCGGGCATAGCGGCACGGAAGCGGGCCTCACTAGTGCGGAGGTGCGTGATGAGGTCAGCGACTGTGGAGAAAGCGGACAGGTCGGGGAACAGGTAGGGGAGCGAGAGACGGCCTAGCGCAGCAGAAGCAGGTGAGGAGTAGCGTGCCACTACAGCAGTGTACAGTGCCTGCGCTGTTTTGTGCTGGCCAAAGTGCTCTCGCTCATCGATCGGCAGGGACGATAGGAGCAAGACGCAGCAACCTGACCAGCCACCACTACCTGACCAGACACAGCAACCGGACTAGACACTGGGACCTGAGGGGACGCAGCGACCTGAGCGGAGGAAGCAACCGGGGAGCGCTCGGTGTGGAGAACGTAGAGACCAGAGCAGGGATCCCTGGTGAACGTGGCCAGAACAGCACCTGTAGCGCCGTCTGTACAGACCGCAGTCCTCCCACCCCCCACAAAGGTAACAGTGATCCCCCTGTCCTGGAGGTATCCAACACCCACCAAGTTCCGAGTGAACGAGGGGATGTGGAGGCCGCGCAGGACACCAGAGGGGACCACAGGGCACGGGAGGGTGGTGGAGCTGCGCGCAACGGCTGGTCCTGAAGAAGGATCAGCCAAAGCGACCGGAACCGGAGCAAGGAGTGGTGTGAGGGTCGTGTGGTCGCGGAAGAAACACTGCGACGCGCCAGAGTCCAGCGTGAAAGATAGGGACGCCTCAGCCGGAGACGTGTCAGGTCCGGAGGCTACACAAGCACCTAGAGCAGAGACACAAGCACCTAGACTAGAGAGGCACAGGTCTACACTAACAGGAGGCAAGCATTTTAGACTATGAACACGCGAGCACACAGATCCATCAGCACTATAGTCAACATCAGCATACAAAGCATACTGACGAGCATCGTCCATAGACATTTCAAATACAGGAATCTTACGGGCTAGCAGATGAGCCCAGCGCGGGGTGGTCGCCTCAGGACCCCAGCGTGCACGGTAGAGGTCGTCGAGGCGGCGGAAGCACCGCATTGCAGTGTGGTCGTCGCGGCCGCAGACACAGGGACTGCCCGGTCCGGTGACGCACCAGTGGTCGCAGGGGCCAGTGTCGCGCCGCGGGGGGCGAGGGGCCCAGCTGGTAGTGCTGCTGCTGCGGCCAGTGCTCCCGGGTCCTCCAGGTCCCCACTGTGGCGGAGGGCCCCAGTGCTGCTGCGGACCCCACTGCAGTGGGGGTCCCCACGACTGAAACTGCTGTGGCGCCTGCCACTGCTGCTGTCCCTGCTGCTGGTGCTGTCTCTGCTGTGGCTGCTCCTGCTGTGGCTGCTGCTGCTGGGGCCCCGCACCACCGCTGGTCGAACCTCCTCCAGCAGGCGGGTCAGCACCTCCTCCAGAGCTCCCTCCGCCTGGTGCACCACCGCCACCGCCACCACTGCCGCCCCCAGTGCCGCCTCCACCACCGCCACCTCCTCCACCGCCGCCACCCCCCTTTACCCCTTCCTTGCCTCCCTTGCCCCGTTTCTGCCTGTCAGCGGCAGAAACAGCTACAGTGTCCTCAGAGACCGACACATCAGCAGAGGCACAAGTAGCAGTGAAGGTAGGAAGCTGGGGGACAGCACACCCCTCAAACAGACGAGGAGCAACTGCGTCAGTGGCTGAGGCAACAGAGAGGAGGTTACTCTCGATCTTCGCGAGAGTGGTCTCGAGAAGATCAATCGTAAGCTCACTCGGGTGCTACTGGAGAAGTGCGTCACGGGCAGTGGAGAGGCGGTCAGGGAGACGAGTGACTACCCAGTGGACGGTGAGCCAGATAGGAGGAGGGGCAACAAGAAGCTGAGCCTTAGTGCAAGCCGCACGGTAGCTAGCGACAAGGGACCGCAAGTGTGTGGCTAGGTCCGAGACAGTCGCAAAAGAGCCGAGGTCGGGAAACACGAACGGCATGAGGATGCGGCTGAGGGAGGCAGAGGAAGGGGTGGAATAGCATGCAGATTTAGCATCGTACACCTCCGTCGCAGTCTCTACCAGGTCGAAGTGAGCGGCCTCAGTCGGTGGAAGGAGCTCTGTCAGCGCGAGTGCAGCCGCAGCATCACGGGAGTCCCAAACGTCCCGTGCCAAGACAAGACGATCGTAGTCCGCCTGCGCCTCCGGAGTCGGGGGGGTGCACGGCAGGTAGGGGCTCGGGACGTCGGGGTGCCTGGAGAGCGCCGGACTCATGGGCGTACAAGGTGGCGCCATCCTGGCGCTGACTGGTGGGGTAGCGCTGAGTCTGGCGGAGCCAGGTGCCGAACTCTATCGGGCGTCCCTCCGCATCGAAGCGAAGCCGGCGGGAGGAGTCCATAGTGGAGGCTAGGCTAGCGTCGGCTGGAGTACAGAGAAAGCGGAGCTAGGAGCGAGGAGGGAGAACAGCTAGCGACGGAGGAGGCGAAACTAGAAGTCCTAGGAGCGCTAGTGGAGGAGGAAACCGGGCTAGGGGCTAGAGGCTAGGAGCTAGATGCAACCGGGTGGAAATCGTGTGACCGGTGAGAGAAGCGGCTGCCAGCCGCTGAGTGGAAAGCCTATAGCAGTAGGAACGGGTTTAGCCCGGGGAACAGGGCGGTGGAGGGGGGGAAGGAACCACGTGCCTAGTGAGGAGGTGGCGCGTGGGCCGGGCGCGGCCTTTGGGGAGGGCGTTGTTAGGGCGCGATCTAAGGCGAGGGCGCGGGCTAAGGCGTGGGCGCGGGCTCGGCGCGTGCTAGGCGCGGAGGCGGGGCTAAGCACGGAGGGCGCGGACGGCGCGGAGGGCGGGGCTAAGCACGGAGGGCGCGAGGCGCGGGCTAAGGCGCGGGCTAAGGCGCGGGCTCGGGCGCGGGCTAGGCGCGGGCTAAGGTGCGAGGCGCGGGCTAAGGCGAGGGCGCGCGGCTCGGGCGCGGGCTAGGCGCGGACGGCGCTCGGGCGCGGGCTAGGTGCGGACGGCGCGGGAGGGCGCGGGCTAGGTTCGGAGGCGTACTAGGGCGCGGAGGGCGCTTAGGCGCGTGGTGGAGGGCGCGTGAGGAGCGGAGGCGCGCTAGGGCGCGGAGGGCGCTAGGGCGCGGAGGGCGTGAGGGCGCGTGACGGAGGGCGTTTAGGGCGCGCAGGCGCCCTAGGGCGCGGAGGGCGCTAGGGCGCGGGCTAGGTAAGGAGTCTAACCTACTCGTGATACCATCTCAGAATGTGAAAGCAACGGAATGGATGAACTAGGAAAGTGAGTGATACAAATAGCAAACCTAGAAAGTGTTGTACTCTCTACAGAGCTACTCACTACAGCCTATTATAACAATGTGCAATATTTGACATCTGCACACAACTTGGTTTAGTTACATGAGGTCATCATTTTCTAGTCTCGTGATCTTTGCTACTTGCTCAGTCCATGACTCCGCATAGATATATTGCTACTGGCCTTGTTGCCTCTTACCTCATAGATTTGGACTAGTAATGCTGCCCTGAGTTTGCTTGTTGTTGTTCTGTGTGTACGGATAGACCCCTGGTCCGGATAGAAGACCCACGGGGCTTGTACGCGGGGGGGTCTTTAAACCGGGAGATCACGGTAGATTTGACGTATTTTTTGTTCGGCTAGGTTGCTTAGTCTGAGGTACTATGTAGCGAGTACAACATTGTTGATACCGTCATCACCCGGATATAAGGCAGTGTTGAATAGAAGACAGGGGGTGTCTATTATCCGGGTGTCTCTTATAAACGGGGTAGCCTCATTATAAGACACCTATTTGTGTGTACGAGTTAAGCCAGTGTAGGGGTTAGGGGCAATTGTATAACGAGGGGGTATCTTCTAAACGGTTCTTTGTCCATTTATAAGACTGATAAGACACCCTAAACCGTCCCAAATATAAGACAACCCAAGCATTTTTGCCCGTGTACGAGATAAGACATATATGTCTTATATCCGGGCGATGACGGTATGAATCATGTATGCTCTTGTGTTGTGTTGCCATTCTGTTGTCTTACACTTCTGACAATACCATGGCTCCAAGGCTACAGATGTATGAAGAGGCAAAGAAAACAAATCAACAAGGCTAGAATTCGTGCTCGGTGACACCAATGATTCTTGTGGCACTCTGACACATTGGCGTAAAACTATACAAAGAGATTATGCACAACAGACAAACACTGTACATTTTATTCACAGCCCTGCTGAGCATATACCAACACGGGCACTCGAAACAACAGGTGTACAAACAATTGTTCCTATAGCCATTTTCTCTAAGCACTCAAACCCATTCATCTTTCTGTAACAGCCTCTGATGTTAGCGAATCCCAATAATTTAATTTTGTTGCAGCTGTCTCCGGCTGAAATGTTGTAGGTGGCCCCTGGGCATGTGCCTATTCTGAACCTGATGCTGCTGTGAACGCACGCCTGCAGTATGGGATTCAACGGGTGACATTAGAAGGATGAAAAAGATACAGCGTGTGCAATCTGAAAGCTGCATCACATCCATCTTAGCACACAAATGCCGCACCTTGCGCTGTGAGAAGCCCTCGAAGGTAGCAGTCGGCAGGCGGTTGTTGCAGTTGATGCCTGGGTTGAGGCGATAGAACTCGAGGGCTCAAAGGCGGATTCACGGCTATTCTTGCAGCATCGCAGTCATCACCGCCCCCCATTTCATACTGCTGGTCACACACTGCCACCATCCCCGCCTTGCTCTCCTCCCGCTCCACACACACGGCCAACCTGCCCGTGAGTGCTGCACAGTCCAGCCTGGGGTTGAGCCCCACCAACGCCTCCTCACATGCCTCGCCCTCCACGGGGCACCCCACGCTCAGACCAAACAGCTCAGCTATCGATGCACAGCTGTCACCCTGCAGACACAGCCAATTTCCCATTCAATCGAGTTACAAGAAGTTACAGTCAAGAATGGAACGCAGTTAGCGTCATAGTCTATGAGACCAGTCTTGCAGTCCATTGCAAAGAATTATCACAGAGCGAGATGATGGATGCAGTGCTGGCTTGGTGCGCTCACAAGGTGGGTGGTGTAGATGAGCGAGCAGGTGGGAAGAAGCTGAGTCGGCGTGATGTTCAGCTTGAACCCCACTGGGATGGGCTTGGAGCAGGAGAGCTTCTGCAGCCATGGAGAAAGAAAGGCACTCCAGGATGAACGTTACATATTGTGTCTGCTCGAGTGGTGAACAGTTGAGTTGAGCACTAGATGCATATGAAGCAACCGACCTTGTTCTTCTGCTTGAGTTCGTCCAGAGTGAGGCCAAGCACGGGCAGCAAGTGAGAGCACCACACACTGCTTCCACGCACCGTGTAGCTGCCCTTGCTGTCACCTGCAAGTGTCAGCACAGCATGCACATCAGCACAAAACAAGTACCGCATAGCATGCAAGATGAATATTTGTTATCCAACTCCAATCGTTCTGGTAAAAAGAAGGAAACCATAAGGCAGGCGTGAGAGAGAATGTCCCATGCAGCAGAGCATGGAAGGATGAGGGTCAATGGCACCTGGAGCACAGGAAAGAGTTCCCTTGGCGGTGGTGCCTTGAACGAATCCCGGGGGACACACACAGGAGTAGCTGCCCTTGCCATCGTTCACACACGTGCCCACCACACACGGGTTGCTGCCTGCCAGCCCACAGGCGTCCACTGGCAGCAGCAGGGAGGGCAGAGAGGGGAAGGAGGTGTTTGGGTAAGCAAAATGTTGAAAATGGTGGTCAGAAGAGCACGAGGGAGTGTGAGGGTGGGGTGGGCTCACCATAGGCGCAGGTGTTGGAGCCGTCGGGGTGGGAGGCCTGGACGAAGTGGGGAGCAGCACAGGCACAGCGGTTGGATGCTCCGGCCTTGGAGCACTTGAACTGCCCACACGGGTTGAACGCATTGCTCCCTGCCGCTCCCAGTGAGCCCGCCAGTATCACTGACTTGCTGCCACACGGGTCAGCAGTAGCTGCCACGCACACAGCACACATCATATACACATTTGAGAAGTTGCGTAGCTACAGGAGGGGCACTCATGGAAGGTAGAGTCAAACATAAAACTGCGAGACGTTCCCCCAAACATTTCATGGTCACCTATGCAGGCAGGTACGTACATCGGAGGATGGGGAAGATGCCTGGCAGTGTGTTGATGCCACAGACGCCCGGCCCGCTCTGCATGTCCATGAACATGTGCCCTGCAGCCCCCCACTCGCTGCCCCATGAGTTGCGGATCACCCAGAGGGGTGCAGGCATTCGAAAAGGGCTAGCGTTGCTTGTCTCCAGACCGTAGCCCACCACCAGTACAGCATGGTTCACTCCGTTCTGGAAGCAACTGGCGTTTTCGTACTTGGATTTCTGAAAAGATTGGGGCACAGAATAGGAGTGGGTGGAAACTGGGTTAAAATTATCGCAGGCCGTGCCTCTCCAGCCATGAACAGCGTGCATGAACAAAAATAGGCATATTGTCACACGGCACTGAACCCACCTCCTGTCCCCCTTTGACCCGCACTATGTATGGGCTCAAAATCATACTCATGTCTGCACTCAGCTGGATTTCACAGCTTGTGAAAGTTCGAGCAAGATAAAACAAGATCACATTCCATCTTTAACCACAACAGCAATGGTATCGGAAGTAAGCAATAGCAAAGCAAAAGTGTAAACCAGAAATCTCTAAGCAACAAGCTGTCAGAGATTTCTGGTCGACAAACTCTGCATCACTCCATACAGCTGAAAGCATCCGGAGATTCTCTGCTCGCCCCAACACATGCGTCTCACCCAACCTCAAACCTATGGCACGTGACTCAAGCACAGATGGATGGCATCTCACCCCATCGTAGTCGAGGAATGATGGTGCAGACGCCTCAATCCGCACAATCACTGGCTGCCGTTGCACTGCTAGCAGCAGACCCAGCCAGCCTCCAAACGAGCTCTCCTCAAAACCCTGGATTCCGTAATACTTGGGCTTCTGCCACACCAGAGCGCAGAGGGGTGAGGTGCGAGTGGTGAGAACAACGGGAGACCAGTCTATTAGTTGTTGGAATGGGTGTGAAATAGACACGAGCAAACGCCCTCCCCTCTTCCTAGTTTTAGCGTGTCTTTTCTTCAAGGGAGGGGGTGGGGTGAAAGGGGGGAGGGAGAGGAGGGAGGTGGAGGGGGAAAGGGAGGAAAAGTGGGTGGGTGGGGGGATGGGCACAGCAAAGAGGGGTTGGAGGAGACAGATTCATGGGCTACTGAATGAGAATGACAATGACAAGGAGTGAATGCCAATTAGCAGAGCAGGTCAATGTTGTCACAATGTCACTCGGTTGAGTTGACTAGACCTCTACCTCCTGGAATGACAGGGCCAGGGCTTGGCTAGCGTTTTAGAGTTAACCAAAGTCTGCATTAGGCATTGCAGAATATGTGGGTCATCAACATCCCTAGCACACTGTTCAACTTAGCGCGGGCTTACGTACACATGCAACATGCTAGGCCTCCCGATCGGTTTGCCCAGCCTAGAATGAAACCTCTTACACTCTCGCTCCGTGTTGTTCATTCGTCATCACCACCACCACTCTCTGCAACTCACCGCGGCCAGTCTCTCCCGCCGGCCGGCGGACACCATGCTGTGTGGACTGGCGGCCGCTGCTGCTGCGTCATCCACGAGCCCCCCTCCCTTGCGCGTGGCAGACACCAGGAAGGCCAGCACATCGCGGGGAGGCATGTCGTCGCAGTTGGACGACAGGGCCAGCCGCAGCTGCTCCACCGACAGCTTGGGGGGCTGATACAAGCTTTCCATGATGCTGTAGGCTGCCTCCACTGCTGCCACCACTGCGTATGCTGAGGAGTCGGCTGCAGGCCAGAGATGGGCGACGTTGGGGGAAGGAGATGGGCGGGCGGGCGGGTAAGGGAGGAGGGGAGGGGGAAGGGGGTTGGAAGGCCAAGAGGTAGCCGCACAGGGATGCGTAAAAAAACCCACACCCATTCCATACCCCAACCATGCCATACCCAACCCATGCTACACTCCACCCCTGCCATGCCCCGTTCGTGCCACAACACCCCCATGCCACACCCCAACACTGCCACACCTCGTCCATGTTATGCAATGCCATACCACATCCATGCTGGTTCTTCACAGGCCATGTAGCCATGTTTCGCATCCAGGAGACAAATGCAGGAAGCTTCCACATGGGCAGACCGTCCGCAGTGGGGAGGAAGGAGAGGCTGGCATAGTGGAACGATACGGGCGCACTCTCGTCCTCACGGCCTGCTTCCACCTCCTCTGCTGATGCTACCCTCCCAAATGCAGTGCCTGGGAGTTCACGGGGTACAATGAGGAAAGCATAAAACTAGGTGCTGATCTGGACGTCTGAAAACGTATCTCAAATTCAAAACTGAAGGTACAAGCTCCCCCAAACTGGGGAACACTGACTTGAACTCTACCTATTTACCTGATGTACCTATTACCAATCTTTTAAACAGAGATGTTTTACAGATCAAGGTGTGCAACAACCCACCAACGATGGTGCCCTTACCGGCGCTCTGAGATTGCCACTCAACTGCTGGTGGTACGTCTGCAAATATCAACGTGAAAGAAAACACACACACACACACAACCCGGCCACACGAGGTGCCACATGCACACGTTCACACGCAAAAACACACAGTGTGATTGGCCTTCTTAATCCCTCATGAGAACTGCGAATAACGAGACAACATCCAGTTATACTTTTCCATGTGAAGCCATCATGATCTGGCAACTGACCAACATAGGCTATCAAGTCCGTGCTCACCGGTGTCGACCTTCCAGGAGAGGATGTCGTGCCTCTGAGTGTTGTTCAGCGAAGCCGCCACAAATCCGAAGAGGAAGGAGGCATTTCCAATGGTGGGCAGAGCACGCTGCACAGAGATACTCTCGCCATCACCACAGCCTTGGACGGCTGCTGCCTGGAGGCTGAGAGGAAGACTCGGAGAGTGCCGCCGCTGGTGGGGTCGTAGTGGATCCAGGCGTGCTTGGTGTGGCCGTCGTTGAGGATGAGAGGGGCCGTGGCAGAGGCGAGGGACACAGGTGAGCCGCCCACATTGACGCCCACGTGGTTGTCGTTGGGGTCGCTGTGCTTCACACTCAGCACCGAGTCAAACTCCACCGCCACACTCCGCTTCCCCACCCCTCCCAGCCCCACCCCCGCTGCACCCCCCTGGGGTGCCGCAGCAGTGACCACAAACGCCAGGCCCTCGCCTGTTGCGGAGGAACCAGCAGCAGCAGGGGTCATTCGAAATGCAAACGAAACCAAAAATGATATGGGCTTGTCACAGGGAGTCTTCTGGCTGGTAGAGAGGAAGAGAGTGATGGGCTGCTTTATGAAGGCTGCTCCCCATGATGCAGTGGCCGATGGTGGGGAGAGGAAGATGGAGCCATTGGGAGCAGAGGAGGCCGACTGGAACAGAATCACCGGTTGTTAGTAGGAGGAGAGGCGAGAGGGGATGTAAGGCCCTGACAAGGAGAGATTAGAAGGCAAGTGGGGAGAATTCAGATGAAAGTGGATGTTGGGAATGACATGGAGCTTTGAATTGAAGGTGTGTGCTATGGAATGGGGGGAAGCTTGAGTGGATGGGTGCATCAATGAATGGTTGGTAACCTAGGTAGAGTTCAGGTCAGTGACGACCATCAGATATCAAAGCTTGAACACAGAAGGCAATTGCAGATACAGCAGCAATTGGAGCACTCATCGAATCAAGGAGCGTAAAGGGTATATACTACATGCGCTAGAACTTTGCCTGCCATACCTTGTGCAACACATGTCCCGGCAGTGCTCCCATCAATATATCCAGATTCGCAAGCACATGCAAGATCGGTACTCCGAGCAGCGTAATAGCATACGCCATGGCCGCTACAAGGCGGGTTGAAGGGCTCGTTTCCACAGAACCATTTGCACCAGTCAGAGCTCTTCTGTGTTTGCTCTTTGTCGCAAATGTTCAGATCGACTGCGAAGCAGTTGAAATCTAGAAGCAGTCGGTATGTGGGACATGCAGGAGGGGCTTCTGCTGCACCCGTGAGGTAGTTGAAGTTTGCAGAGATCAGCTTGAGTGACTGCATGAGCTTCAGAGAGGGTAAATTTCCCACGAGCTGGTTGTACCCCAGGAAACTGTAGCGGATTGAAAACCGCAGTGGTGTTTGACAAAAGAGAGGGGAGGGAGCGGCACTTGAGAATGGCATGATGACACGACGGCATCAAGCAGGCAATGTGAGGGGGCACAATGAGAGCAAGCAGGCATCGTGTGACTGTCAATCAGTGAGTGACAAACAGGAGTATGGGGCACACCCGAGGGAAGGGAAGCACAGGGGTCACAGGCTTAGACCAAATCTAGAAAGGATATCTAGCAAGAAGAAGCAAGCATGCATTGAGGGGGCCGAATGATTTCACGTGTCGGGATTCTGTGGTAGCACCCGTGGCTGCACAATTTTCTAAAGCTGTATGAAGAATATGCTCATACTCACAGGTACTGCAGGCCGGTGAATAGGCTGAATACTGCAGGTATCGTTCCTGCAAGAGTATTTTCAGACAAGGCCCTGAGGATGGGTTGCAATCACAAACAAAGTGAATAGCAGACGAGCTGCACATTGTGAGAGCAAAATCCGATCCTGAACAAATATACGAGTGTTTCAATGGATATCCAGGCTGCTACTCTCCAATATATAATTGGATGTTCAACAGGCCAATGTAAAACCTCAGTTTGTGCACCAAAGCAAGGACGACAAATTGCTTATGAACAGTTTACTCCGTCACTGGACTTTCATGCGTCCACCTCAAATTCGAACATTTTCATGCAATAAACACCATCTCGATTCGTCATCCTGGTTTCTATGGAGGATATGATATTTGCCCCGAAGGATTTGGACGAATCACCTGCATTTCGATTAGAACTTTGCAAGAAACTGGCCATGAAGAATATCTGGAAGCTTTCCTTGAAAGACCTTAAGATGGTCACCAACTACATGGGTATGGAGGTCACATGCAGCACGACAGCTCGCAGCATTACCCTTTTACATGTAGTCTGATCTTGAACCAGTTATGCCTCGGAGGCAAACCCCGTCATATATCCCACTCCAGGCGGACAACCAACTTATTCTACCGAGGTGCCTTCCGTTTTGAACACTCTATTCACGCATCATTTTCAACGATGGCGGTTCTCAGATTGAACTTGGAGCTTGTGCCTTACCTTTTTCCGTATTGTGGAAAAAAACAAACAAACAAACAACAAAAAAAGGGGGGCTCACATGGCCGTAAGTCGGTCCAGGTTGACCAAGGAGGCAGGAATGGTGCCACTCAGCCAGTTGTAGTGCAGGAACCTGCCTTGGGTTGGGATGTCATACAGGACATACTGTGTTACTGAAGTTGAGGTGGTCCCTTCACAGCATACGAAAAACGATTTTGATAAGAGTTGCATCACTTGGACACGTGGGTGGGATGTGTAACAAGCCTGGAAGGACAAGCGTGAATTGTTGCATTTTTATGCCTGCCCTTTGTCAGGCTCTTATTGTCTGGAGTTACTGAAAACGCTTGGCCTATCGTGAAGCATATACAATGCTACCATAAGCCTGTAGGCTTCTATAAGGTTTGGCTGTAAATCTTGTGCGCATGTTCCTGTTAGATTTGAACTGTGACTAACTTTGCAATCTTTGATGAGAATTTCCCAGCGCAGCAGCATTCTTACAGTGCTCTCAGGCCTGTGAGGTCACCGATTGACTCTGGGATTGATCCCGTAAAAGAGTTGTGATCGAGGAGCCTGATGGGTAAATGTGGGGAGGGGAAAAGAGAAGGAACTTTGTGCATTGAGGGGAGCATAGTGAAAGGAGCACAAGGAGGATGTGCATTGCTAGGAATATACCGAAATTGGATATTTATATTTATATGCGGTTAGGTAGTCAAGGGGAGAGCACTGCAATGATTCCTACAAAAATATTGCATTGCATTGAAGGAACAGAAAGGTGGAAGATTGACATATCAAGGGAGAGGAAAATCTGATATGGAAACGGCAAGGGGGTTGGGAGTGCAGGGGGCGAGAGGGGGCGAAGGACTAAGGAAGGAAGGGGAGGAGGTTGGAGTGTGATGCTATGATGTCGCGCTTTGAAACCCTTTGTTCTCGCATCTGCATATCTGTATAGCAACTTGCACAACACACACTCCGTACCACTACCACCAAAAGCACATGTACATGTTGCCTGTCAACGGGAGTTGTGTGTTGGCCCCGTCCTCGCTTGGGCGGAGCCGACTTCGTGGTCGGGTGTGAGGGGAACAGCCGACCTACAGCAGTGGGCGAGCTGGTTGACGAGGAGGTCGACCTGCACGGGGGCCACTGCACGGGCGCCGACTTCAGGGTGGCGCCGACTTCAGGGAGGTCGACCTGGGAAGTGGACCTACGGAGGGCGTCGACTTGGTGACGCCGACGTTGGGTAGCCGACTTGGGTGGTCGGCTGACGACTGCGCTAGTCGACGTGGAGCTGGTCGACCAGGAGTGACGTCGACCTGGAGCTGGTCGACCAGGGGTGTGGTCGACGTGGTGAGGTCGACTTGGGGTGGTCGTCGACTTGGGAGGTCGACGGACACATACAGGAGCAGCTGGTCGACGTGGTTGCCCGGTCGACCAGGTTACCTGGGTGACGAGGTTCTGCGGAGGAGTGCGACGGTCGCCCAGGCGAAGTTGGCGAGTCCGACCTCGGTGGTGGTATCCCGAGGTGGAGTCGTCAGCGCCAGGTTGACTAGGTGTGTGCGCTGTGCAGGTGACGAGGCTCAGCACGCCAATCATCTGCGAGCACCTGCGAAGCTGGTGCAATGCTGTACTGCGGGAGCAACGCTGGCACGCCGTCGACCTGCTGCGTTGGCACGCCGTCGACCTTGCACTGCTGGAGCGCGGTCGACCAAGTCGTGCTGGAACGCGGTCGACCATGCTGCGCTGGCAGTCGACCGACCTGAACGCTAGCTCTGATGTAGTCTTGTCTTGCCAACCTGATTGTACCATTGTTATGAACTTTCTCTAGTGAAACTCTTGCCAACTTGCCCCGTGAACTAGCAAGCAGTGTGTGCACTAGGAAAACGACTAAGGACCAACGAACGCAGAGATCACACGAGCACCCGTGCCTAGCCCGTGGTCTAGCTCCCGTTGTAGTAGTTATCTCCGCATGGTGCGGTGAGCGTGGACGGCACACGACTTACCTTTCAGTCAGGTCGACGTAGTGGTCACTTACCTAAGTTGTTCGTAGGCCGGCAGCTGTGCGAGTCACCACCATGGTTGGCGTGGGTGACGCTGGTGTTGCAGACACCATGGAGGCGCGGCTGGCAGGCGCGAGGAGACGCCATGAGGCGCAGGAGTTTGGCGACCTCCCGTGGGCGGTCGTCGAGGCTGGCATCCGCTCTGTGTGGGCGACGGAGCACCCTCCTTCTCAGCCTGCTTCTCCTCGACCGGTGAACACCGAGGGCGGCGTCGACGTGGGCGTCAACGCCAGAAGTGGCCAAGTCGGCAGCAGTGCGGGAGGCACGTCGAGGCAGCGTGGTGTGATTCACACCGATGAAGTCGGTGGAGTTCAGGCGCGAGGGGTGCAGTCGTCGGCGGCTGCAGGCTCCTCGCAGGGCGACGTCGGAGGACGACGAAGCAGTTTGTTGCCGATGTCGGCGTCCCAAGTGACGGCGGGCGGGATTGCACCGAGCTACGGCTACTTCAAGTTTACGCCGGACAGGATCTTGGTCACCCCGCCGCTCGTTGGTCGACCAGACATTCTCACCTGGAAGGAGGCCATCGAGCCTTAGCTGGAGATGGCCGGCGCGCAGTACTCGACGGCATCGTACGTCACCCACGTCATGCAGGGACTCTCGAGCAGCTACAACCTCCTGAAGCGGCTGTCCATGGTGCCAAGCACAAGGACGACGCTCAACGAGGACAACTTGACCTCGTACATCTTGCAGGACGAGGCGATGCAGGAGGCGGAGCGGTCCCAGGAGCTCTTGGAGCAGGCCAACTTCGTCGCCCCGGCGAGACAAGGAGGTCGACCAGGGCAGCGCGGACAGTCTGGCGGCAACGGTGGCAGTGGCTGGAAGCCGGCCAGGGAAGTCGACAAGAAGAAGTCGACCAAGGACAGCGGTCGAGGAGGAGGAGGTCGACGTCGGGAATGCTGGCTGTGCGGCGACCCCGACCACCTCTCCTTCGAGTGCCCCGACCGCAGTGACTCCGACGACGACGACGCCAAGGGAGGCCGTGGGAGGTCTGGCAGCCGTCG